GAGGCCAGGCGGAGGCACTGTCCCCGCCCCCCCTCTGATCACTTTCAGAGGGAGAGGTGGGGGAGGGGTGTGCCAAGGCTTCCTGTCCGCCCTCTGGGCTGCCCAGGCTGTTTCTCCGGCCAATCCCCATGGGGTGGGGGTAGGAGGGGGCCGAGTGCTCAGTGGTGCCCTCCCTCTCTCCCAGGAAGTGGTTCTTGAGGGCCTCGGGTCTTGGGGGACACTGACCTGCCCGAGGTCAGGGGCTCTGAGGTTAAAAGACAAATGTTTCAGATTCTTAGAGTTGGAAGGAGGCTGCTGAAGGTGCCCCCTCCCCAATACTATTATAGCTTGGGGTGGGGGCTGGGCATTGGGCCTGCTGGAGTGCACAGAGGCCCCGAGATTGTCTCTTCCCCTGAACCCCACCCCCTCCCGCCCCCATAATAGCCTTGGCTTGTTTGGTGCCCAGAGTGAGGTGCCCTTTCCTGGATGCACGTAGTGTGGCCTGAGTGTTATGGTGAGTTGGTGTTGAGGTGTGCCCCCCTCGCCCTGGGCTGCCAGCTCCTGTGTGTGTGTGTGTGTGTGTGTGTGTGTGTGTGTGTGTGTGTGCTGGCAGGCAGCGGTCTGATTCCCGGGGCCCAGGCAGATCCCGGAAGGAGCCTGGTTCTCTGATTCCCGGCCTGTCTCCGGGGCTCCTGGGGGTGTGGTGTTTCTGTCTGAGCCCGGGAACTGCTTTTCCTTTCCCCAGGACCCCCGAGGGGGTTGTGCTTCCTGGGAACAGGGCCACGGTCGGGCGGGCGGTATCTTGATTCCTGGGGAGCTGCTGGAGGCCCCTCCCCCACCCTCTGACTCACTGTCTGACACTTTTCTTGGACTCTTCCACTATCTTTCATTCCTCTTTCTTGGCTTCTCCGTGTCTCTGGCTGAGCCTTTTTGCCTTATCGCCTGCCTCTGCCTCTCTCAGCCTCTGGATTTCCAGGTGGGATGGTGGCTCTTGCCCTCTTCCCTCACCCCAAGGGAGTATCGGGGAGGAGATGGCGTCTGGTTTTGGTCCAGGCCTGCAGATCCTGCGGGGGTTCCTCACAGAACCTGCAGCGCAGCCCTGGCTTCTCCCTCCGCAGCTTCGGAGCGCGTAACCCCTCACCCTAAGTTCCCGTTCTTCGGGTCTCCCTGGGGCAGAGCCGAGGCTTAAACCTGCTCCCTTGACCTACCTCTCTGTTTGTTTCCTGGGGAACGGGGAGCCTCCGGAGAGGCACGTGTTGGCACCTGCATTGGCACCTGCCTGCAGCCGAGCTTCCTTCTCCCTCAGAGCCACCCCCTTGTGGGTACCCCTCCGCTGCATGCTGGGGGAGGGGTGTGCACCCCACCCCCTTAAACTGACTGTGACAGGAGCATGAGATCACACTGACCACTCGTTCCTCCCCTCCCCCCAGAGAACCCCCGTGCTTAATCTTGTTTCTGCACGATACACAGCACCCGCCTGCCTGCCTCTGAGGGTCCTCAGTTGCCTTCCCAATGCCAGGCTACGTTCTAGGCCTGGGCACCGTGACAGCCAGGCTGGGAGGCCCTCAGCCTGGTGAGAGGGAGAGGAGCAAGAGGCCACTGCAAGGTGGGGAGGTGAGGGCTGTGATGGGGGATCCCAGGACCCAGGGGGGCCTGTAGTGAGTGAGGGGGGAGTGGGGGTTTCGGGAAGGCCCTCTGGAAGAAGATAGGCCAGGAGGTGAGCAAGTTGTGGTGATTAGGGGCGCAACAAGTTCTGCTGGAGTGTGGAGTGAGAGGGGGTGGGGAGGCACGGGAGGAGCCTGGAGGACGGGCTGCCCTAGGCCTGCTCTGGCCTCTCTGCCTTTCGTGGAATCCCCTCGGGGGGGTTCTAAACCCGAGGTGGCAGGCAGATAGGGATTTAATAAGGTTACTCTGGCTGCGGGGTAAAGAGTGGCTGTGGGGAGATGACGTGGGTAATAGCGGTGGGGGTGGAGACATGAGGGCAATAAACTTTTTAAATTGCAGGTGACGTACAGAAAATGCATGAAGTATATGAATCTTATGCGCCCAGCTAGGTGGGTTTTATGGTTTTAGACACGCATGGAACAAATATCAACCCAGGTCAACTTAGAGCATTTCCAGCCTGCTCCCCCCTAACCCCCACCCCACCACTTCCCCAGGATTCCCTCCTGGCTGCTGCTAGGGCATCCTTCCCCTCCCCCAGGAACCACTGTGCCAACCTGCATCACCAGGGATCGGGTCTGCATTTTTTTTTTTTAATGTTTTCAAGTTTCATCCGTGTTGTAGAATGTACCAGAATTTTGTATCTTTTTAAAAAATTATTATTATTGATTTTATACAGAGAGGAAAGGAGAGAGATAAAGAGCTAGAAATGTCGATGAGAGAGAAACATTGACCAGCTGCCTCCTGCACACCCCCCCACCGGGGATGTGCCCACAACCAAGATACAAGCCCTTGACCAGAATCGAACCCGGGACCTTTCCGTCCGCAGACCGGCGCTCTACCATTGAGCCAAACTGGTTTCGGCTGGTTTGCGTTTTCTTGAGCTTCATTCACATGCATTCTTGCTCCTGGCTTCTTTCATCTAACGGGGCATCTGAGATTCCTCTGTGTGTGTGTGTGTGTGTGTGTGTGTGTGTGTCCAGGAGCTCATTCTTGTCTCAGGCACTGAGCACTGAGCACTTGACGTGAATTGACTCAGGGAAGCCTCCTAACCCCTCGAGGTTTTCTGACAGAGGATCGGAGTGGAGTGCCGCGGTTAGGGAACTGACCCGGGGTCACTCAGCTAATTGAGAGCTAAGCCAGGGTTAAATGCCAGCAGTCTGGTTCTGGAGCCGAGGCCCTGAACCCTGTGCTGGGTGGCCTCCAGGATACCTCCCGGGCCCGTGCCAGGCCTGGTGGGGGCCAGAGGCGTTAACGTGGGGCGGGATGTGGACGGAGGGAGAGAAGAGGGAAGAGGAGTTGAGGATGGCTGCAGGTTTCTGGTTCTGGCTTGAGTAACCGGGTGGGTGGCAGTGCTGTTACTAAGATAGGAAACACAGGAAGAGGAACAGATGGCACGGGCTGGGGTGGGGGGAGGCCCGCACAGACAGGGGGTTCGATTTGGGGCCTGCAGGATTGTATGTTTCTAGGGAACAGCCGGGCAGAGATACCAAGTGGGCATTTGGCGTTGGCGTTGGGGGAGGGAAGGGGCCTCAGGCTTGGGGATGTGATTGGGGACCCACTCAGCACACATCTGGAGCTTGGGGAAGGACGGGCCCAGGCGGGGACAGCGGGCCTGGGTCTGCTTTGTCCCCGTGTGTGAGCGGCTCTGGCCCGCACGTGTCATTCTGTGTGTGCAGACCTGATTCTGGGTCGCCGAGTCCCCACAGCTCCTGGGAGAAGCTGCAGGTCAGCTGCGAGCCGGGCTGTTTTTGTTTGTGGTTTAACCCGGGGAGGGGGTGCCAAGCCTGAGAACGCACCCGTCGAGAAGCCCCCGGAAACACCTGTGTGTCCTCTTTCCCCCCGGGCCCCGTGTGGAGAGTTTGCAAGGAGGCCAGCCCTTTCTGGCTTCCCTCGGGCCTGCAGGGACAGGCTGTCCCCGCAGAGGATTTTACCCAGGAAGCCTACCCAGCGAGTGGATGGCCAGCACACCCTCTGGGTCCAGCACGCAGGGGCTGTGTGGGAGGGAGGCCGGGCACAGGGAGAAAGGGGTGTCTGGGGAGGACACCTGAGGAGGGGAGGTCGCCAGGCGCCTTCTGGTTGGCTTTTCCTGTTCTCTCTCGCTTCCTGTGACAGCTGTGGGGGAGGGGCTCCCCAGCGCTGGGGCCCCTGCATGGTTTCCCTTTCCTCTGGGTGACCTCCTGGGGCCCGAGTGCCAATGGATGTGCCGAGACAAGGTAACGGTGATCAGCCCTGAGGACGGAGTCCTGAGGGGATTCCCAAGGGGGCGGGAGGGACTGTTATTTGCCTTGGCATTTAGGGGAGGGGACCCCAAGTCCCCTCCTTGTTCCTCGGATAGGGCCAGCCAGACGGTGGGAGTCTGGTTGCATTCCCCCGGAGGACTGAGACCTGCAAAGGGGAGACAGGAGCAGCGTGTCCTGGGGAGGCTCCCAGCCACCGAGCTACCGGCCGGAGAGAGGGGGACATTGTCTTGGCAGGTCGGTGTCACCAGAAGAGTTGTTTGTTTGTTTAATGAGAAACAATAATTTCCATGGGAGGTTAATTCACACAAACAGGGCTAGCTATGAGAGTAGAAGGCAGATGGAGGTGACCTTTTAAGACCAAACGGGCGATGTGAAAGCGGCACGAAGCCTGGGTGTCCCGCAGTCATGACGGGAGAGGCATGTCCCCCGTGGGGCGGGGGTTTCTGAGGGGAAGTCTGGGCAGGTCCTTCCCGGGAGAGGAGGGACTTGGGGAAAGTCCTGGGTGAGGGAAGCAGGGCCGGCGGCAGAGCAGCCCGTGTCCCGGAGTGTCCTGGCCGGCCTGGCCCTGGGACTGGGGCCCGCAGCTGCTGTGTGCGTGCAGGGCAGGGTGCCTGTGGGTGTGCTCGGAGGGGGGGAGGAGGAGGAGGAAGAGGAGGAGGAAGCAAGAGCCATGGCTGCGCAGACAGTCTCACACACACAAAAGCACACAGATGCGAGGCCTGTGAATCACCCAGCCCGTGAGTCAGCCCCCAGGATTCCTGTCGGGGAGCGATCGAGGCTGGGCAGAGGTCTGTCGGTCCATCTGTTCGTCTGCTGTGTGTGCGCCTGTGCAGGTGGGCGGTGGGGAAGGGGCCTGGCCGTGTCCTGGAAGGGTTTCAGGGCAGAGTGAAGGGATCTCCGAGCACCAGGACGGGGGTTTGGGCCTCTCTGCTCTGCCCTGTGTGTAAAGGAGCCCCCCAGGGATGTGCCCCCTGCACCTAGAGCTTCGGGGCCGGGTGGGCAGGCCTGGGACACCTCGGAGGGTACGTGGGAGAGGGGACAATCTGGGACCCCCTCAGGCCCTCCTCTGAGAGCCTTCTCCTTTCCGTTCCAGGCTGCCTGCGCCCGGGACCCACCATGGCTGGGTCGCTGAAAAGAAAGTTTGACCAATTGGAAGAGGATGACTCCTCGCTCTGCTCGTCTTCATCTTTGTCCTCCTCGGGCCGCTGCTCTGGCCCCTGCTCCCCAAGCTCTTCAGTCTCCCCAGCCTGGGACCCGGAAGAGGAGGGCCCCTGGGATCAGATGTCCCTGCCGGACCAGACCGTCTGTGGCCCCCAGAGTTTTACCCGTGAGTCCCTACTCCCCTGGGGACCCCCACCGCACACTGCCCCCCTCCTCCCCTCCTAAAGGTGCACGGGAGGCCAAGCCGTCCTAACCACCGGAGGCCGTGTCCCCGCGGCCTTCGCTCCCCACTCATCCCCTTCCTGGAATACCGTGGTCACTGAATGCCCACTGTCCAGAGGCGCGTGGTCGTGGCTACGTTCACCTCTGACCTTGGGACTCCCCCGTTTCAAAGTCATGACATTCAGAGCAGAGCTCCTGAGAGTGGCCCTCAGGCCTCCCGCCCCAGCTCCTCCCTTCTGCTCCAGTTTCGTTTCTCCAGCTCTTGTCCTGTCCTCTTTCCAGCTGCTCTGCAGAGCCCCACGCCCGCACGGCTCCGCTGTGAGGCCTGTCAAGCCGGTCCCTCCCCTGTCAAAATGCCACTTGGCTTTACCTGACCAGAGTGAAAAGGTTACTTTCCGAGCCGGCAGGTTCTGGTTCCAAACTGACAGAGGCGGCCCCGGGGCAGTTTCTCAACCTTGCTTTGTCTGATCATGCCCCTCAGCCCCAAAGAGCCTTTTCATTAAAAAAAAAAAAAAAAAAAAAAAAAAAAAATATATATATATATATATATATATATATATATATATATATATATATATATTTATTGATTTTTTACAGAGAGGAAGGGAGAGGGATAGAGTTAGAATCATTGATGAGAGAGAATCATCGATCAGCTGCCTCCTGCACATCTCCCTACTGGGGATGTGCCTGCAACCCAGGCACATCCCCAGTAGGGGGATGTGCAGGAGGCAGCTGATGGATGATTCTCTCTCATCAATGATTGACCGGAATCAAACCTGGGACCCTTCAGTCCGAAGGCCGATGCTCTATCCACTGAGCCAAACCGGTCAGGACCCCAGTGAGCCTTTTCAGACTGTGTTTTCCCTCATCAGCCCGGCCTGATACTTTATGAGCACAGAGATGATGTTCGTTTATAATATGTACTGCCTGCATGTCTGTGTTCTATATAAAAAAGTATGATTTTTAGCACGTAGATCTAACGGTGCATTAACTGACGAAACGACTGTGGGTTTATCCTGGAAATAGAAGGATGGTTTAATATATATGAACCAATCTCACAGTTTGCCAACTGACTGTGTCAGAGGAAGAAAAATACAAGAGCTACTCTAGATGCTGAAAGAATATTTGATAAGACATAATGTGCCTTCTAAATAAGACTCTGGGTAAGATACACATTAAGTGAATTCTGCTTAAATGGTTAAAAAATAGGTTTCATCCCAAAAGCTGATTCTGACCGATGAGGAAAGACTGGAAGCGTTTCCTACTAGGTCAGGAACAGGAGGAGGATGCTGTCTGTCACCACTGCTGGCTCACAGTGCTCAGGAAGTGCTAGCCAGTTCAGTTCGCAGACGGAATAAGAATTCTATGTATTGCGTTGGACAGGCCAAGGTGCCACTCATGTCTCTAATAGCATATATAAAGCGCTCCTACAAATCAAGAAAAAAAAAACAACTAGAACTGAAACCGGTTTGGCTCAGTGGATAGAGTGTCAGCCTGTGGACTGAAGGATCCTGGGTTTGATTCCGGTCAAGGGCATGTACCTTGGTTGCGGGCACATCCCCAGTAGGGGGTGTGCAGGAGGCAGCTGGTCGGTGTTTCTCTTTCATCGATGTTTCTAACTATTCCTCTCTGTAAAAAAAAAAAAAAAAAAAAAAAAAATATATATATATATATATATATATATATACACACACACACACACACACACACAAGAAAACTATACAAGGGACCTATAATCTGCTTATAAATAAATTCTCTCCTTTCATCTGGCAAGTATTGGCAGAGGGTGGGGTGGGCATTCAATTTGACGGATTCTGATCCCAGCCAGGCTGGCTCCTCGTTTTTTGGTTGTTTTTTTTTTAAATATATTTTATTGATATATTGATTTGACCGATTCTGATCCCAGCCAGGCTGGCTCCTCGTTTTTTGGTTGTTTTTTTTTTTAAATATATTTTATTGATATATTGATTTGACCGATTCTGATCCCAGCCAGGCTGGCTCCTCGTTTTTTGGTTGTTTTTTTTTTAAATATATTTTATTGATATATTGATTTGACCGATTCTGATCCCAGCCAGGCTGGCTCCTCGTTTTTTGGTTGTTTTTTTTTTAAATATATTTTATTGATATTTATACAGAGAGGAAGGGAGAGAGATAGAGAGTTAGAAACATCAATGAGAGAGAGTCATCAATCAGCTGCCTCCTGCACACCCCCCACCGGGGATATACCCGCAACCAAGGTACATGCCCTTGATCGGAATCGAACCGGGACCCTTCAGTCCCCAAGCTGACGCTCTATCCATTGAGCCAAACCGGTTTTGGCTTTTTTTTGTTTTTGTTTTGTTTTTCTTCTAAATTTGAATCCTTCTCTTTTGGGGGGTGCGAGGAGCGGGGGATCAGGGCCCTCTTCCAGGGGCTTTTGTGCTGCGTATCACCGAGAACTCACGCGCCGCCCCTTCTCCGCCTGCCTTCCAGCCTCGTCCATCCTGAAGCGGGCCCCCCGGAAGCGCCCGCGCCGCCTTGCCTTCACTGGCACCACCGTCTTCTACTTCCCACGGTGCCAGGGCTTCACCAGCGTGCCCAGCCGCGGGGGCTGCACTCTGGGCATGGCCCCTCGCCACAGCGCCTGCCGCCGCTTCTCCTTGGCCGAGTTCGCCCAGGAGCAGGCCCGGGCACGGCAGGAGAAGCTCCGCCTGCGCCTGAAGGAGGAGAAGCTGGAGGTGCTCCGAGCGAAGGTAGGAGAGAGAGACCCCACAAAGGTCCACAGGGAGGGGCACCGGGGCAGGTGCTGGTGTGCTCACTGTTTGGGGAGAGACATGCATGGGGCCAGGGATGGCGTGATCTGGGACCTGCTGCCTGGATTATGTGCGGGCAGAATGGGGCATAGTACCTGGGTCTGTCTGCCCTCGCTGGGGAGGAGGATGGGAATCGACGGACACTGGGTGTCAGTGTCCATGAAATGGACAGGAAATCTCTTTGCAGATGCCCTGAGGGCAGTGCTCTTGGCTGCCCTGATCACTGGGGACATCCACAGTGTCCATCCAGCCCAGAGTAGCACATGGGGGAGGAGAGGAGGCGTTGGTCAGATGACTGGTGGCTGTGGGGACTAAGACCACCACGTCTGCGCCTCTCACGTCCCTCCTCCTCTCCCCTGGATGCAGCTTACGGAGGCTGGGGTCCCCGAGGCGGAGGCCGGCCTGACGTTGACAGTGGACGCCATTGACGATGCCTCTGTGGATGAGGAGTTGGCGGAGGCTGTGGCCGGCGGCCGGCTGGAGGAAATGACCTCCCTGCACCCCTACCCGGCCCGGAAGCGGCGGGCCCTGCTGCGGGCTGCGGGCGTGCGCAAGATCGACCGGGAGGAGAAGCGGGAGCTGCAGGCTCTGCGCCAGTCCCGGGAGGACTGTGGCTGTCGCTGCGACGGGGTCTGTGACCCCGAGACCTGCAGCTGCAGCCTGGCGGGCATCAAGTGCCAGGTACGGCGGTCGGGCTGGGCTGGGAGCGGGAGCCTGAGCTGGGGGGCTGCTCCTTGGGATCCTCACCCGTGCCTCTCCCCTCTCTGCAGATGGACCACACAGCGTTCCCTTGCGGCTGCTGCAAGGAGGGCTGCGAGAACCCCAAGGGCCGCGTGGAGTTCAACCAGGAGCGGGTTCAGACCCATCTGCTCCACACGCTCACCCGCCTACAGCTGGAGCAGGGGACTGAGAGCCTCGGGGAGCTGGAGGCCCCTGCCTTGGGCGGCCCACCCAGCCCTGGTGGGCAGACCCTGGCCCCCACCTTCCCCCTGGCCAGCCCCCCCGTGAGCAGCGAGCTGGGAGACCACAGCTGCAGCAGCGACATGACCGATTCTTCGGCGGCATCGGGCGCTAGCGAGTCCCCCGACAGTCCTGCCCATCTGGCCCTGCCCGACCCTGGCTTCCAGCCTGGCTCGGATGATGACAGCCTGGAGCAGATCCTGAGGTTCAGTGACTCAGACCTGGGTGGAGAGGAGGAGGAGGAGGAAAAAGGGGGCGTGGGGAACCTCGACAACCTTAGCATCTTCCACCTCGCCGATATCTTTGGCTCCGGTGACCCCGGTGGCCTGGCCGGCTGGACCCACAGCTATTCCAATACCAGCTTCACATCGGGCATCCTGGATGAAAATGCCAACCTGGATGCCAGCTGCTTCCTGAACAGTGGCCTGGAAGGGTTGGGAGAAGGCAGCCTCCCTGGCACCGAGGTGCCGCCCAGCCTGGACGCCGGCCAGAGCAGCTCCGTGGACCTCAGCTGGTCTTCCTGCGACTCCTTCGAGCTGCTCCAGGCCCTGCCGGACTACAGGCTGGGGCCCCACTACACCTCCCGGAAGGTGTCCGACACCCTGGACAACTGGGAGGCACCCCACTTCTCCCCGCCCGGGGACACCAGTGTTTGCTTCTTGGAATCCATCATGGGCTTGTCTGAGCCAGCTGCTGAGGACGCTGGCTTCCTTCTGGGACTGCCAGTTGTGTGAGGACACAGCCCTGGCATCCCTGCTGGGGCCCGTGCCTGTTACGAGGACTAGGGTGCCTTTTCCTGGCCCCGAAAGCCCTTTTGCTGCTGTGTCATAACTTGGGGGCTCCGTGGGGCCTGTACGTAAAACCGTCTCCCATTGGCTGACGCACCCATGTGGGCATTCCTGATTTTCATGCAACACTCTGATGTATTATTTATTTTTGTAACTTGCTGTGCTGGAGAGAGTGGGAGGGAGCTCCCCCCTTGGCCACCCAGCCCCTGGTGCCCAGTCTCTCCCACTTCCATGGCACATGCCAGGAAGAGGAGGGCGTGATGTTTCTCAGCCTGATGACGGCGACACAGGGCTAGAAACATTTACCTCTTCCGGCTTCTGCCACCCTGAGCCCTCCCCACCCCGGGTGGCTGAATCCTCTGGACTGTGAAGACTATAATTTATTTCCATAATTTATTTGGAGACGAGGCAGCTTAGGCTTCTCGCCCCTGGCTGGCAGGCAACGCTGAGGTCAGGGTGGGGCACGGACCCAGAGAGTCTCCCTTTTACCTTGTAGCCCTGCAGCCCTGCCTGACTGGTCGTAGGTGCAGACCAGATGTGGATTCAAACCCTGTGTCCCCTGTGGCAGCCGCCTGGCTCCAGATGGCTGAGCAGGCAGAGGTTCGCCTCGGACAGAGGAGGGACTGAACTGACCAACCGTGACCCACCCGGCCCCCCTCCACTTCCTGTCCTCTGCCCTGTCCCTCCCCTCCCCCACAGGCCATGGCCTTTAGTCGGGCCCATGGATGTAGGAAGGGGAAGCAGGAGGCCGAGAGAGCGAGAGAGGCTCGCCTCAGTGCCTCGGGGCCCACCACACGCCCTGGAAGACAATCTCAGGGCTTTCTGGACACTGCACTCCAGCCCGGCCCGCCTGCCTGCTCCCTCGGCCAGTGGGCCAGGGCCCGGGGTGGTGCCTTACGGCTCTTCTGCCCATTTGTTGGTGATGAGTTTTGCATCCGGATTTCTATATTGTCCCTCCATATTGTAACTATAATTTATTCATTTCTCTCTGTGTCTGTGCCAAGGAGCCCAGGCGCTGCGCTTGCCTTCTTACCCAGGAGGCCGTCAGCCTGTGTGCTCGTGGGAACACCTTATGCCTGAACTTACAGGTACCCATTAAAAGGCTCTATTTTTAATGGTGTGGTCTGTGTTTGTGGGAAGACTTAAGAACACAGGTGTACTCTCCAGAGGGAGGGAGGGGAGAGGGGGGAGACGGGTCCTGCAGGGCTGCGTGGATACAGAGGCCGTGTTGGGAGTGGGGATTGAGAACTCAACACGCTGGGCCTCCTTTCATGCAGGCCAGGCAACGAGACTGGAAGCCAGCTGCGAGAGGCTGGCTGGGTTCCAGGAACTGTTCTCCCTTTGGAAGAGTCCCTCACCCCCCAGGGGTCTCCTGGGGTGCAGTCACCGCCCCTCTCCCAGGTGGAGGCAGACAGAGGGTTGGGGTGGGTAGAGGCCTTGTGTGGGGCTGAGCTGCTGAGGTCCCTGGGGACGTGAGCACCACACGCCGGAAGCTGTAGAACTTCACCCATCTGCACCGGCCAGACCTGTCTGACCTGCCCCTGGCCGCCTGGGCTGCAGGCCAGAGGAGCAGGCTGCACTCTGCCCTGGTGAGCCCCGGTCTGGGGCTTGAGGAGCAAAGTCAGCCTCCCTCTTAGCAATAACACTGATTTGCACAAGTGCTGGGAAGGGGGCCCAGCAAGGACACCTGGCTTCTTGTCCTAACCTTCTGCCTGTGTTCGTGCTCTCTGTGGTTTACTGGTTAAGCGCAAGGACCCACAGTGCCAAGTTCAAATCCCAGCTCTTCTACTATCAAGTGAGAAGTCTTATGCAAATGACTTCCTCCTCACTGTGCCCAGGTGTCCTCAGTTCTGACTGTGCAAATAACCCTGCTCACCTCCTAAGCTTGTCTAGTTCATGTAGGTACAGCACTCTGAAGAGAGTCTGGAACATGTAAGTCTCATGACTCCCATGCTCTTTTCATGCTTTGGCCTTTATGGTTGTTTTTTTTTTTTCCCCTCTTACCAGTTTTGTCACCTTATTTAGGTACATCTCTTGCCTCGGGACATGCATGCACGTGGCCACATGGCCATGAGGTCAGTGGCCACTAGAGGACAAGGCTTCGAGTCTGGCCCGTGGTGGGGTAGGCTGTCCTTGTACCCAAGTTAGGCAGGGTCGGCCAGGTCTGAGGCTTCTCATGGTGGGCACCAAGTTGGCTCATCTGCTTTCTCACTGGCCCCTGGAATCCTTTTGTAGGGATTGCTTCAGCATGTGATCCCAAAGCCTACCTCTCCAAAGGCGGCGAGGCGAGGCTCTGACTGGCCTGGGGTCTGGGTGGCAGCCTCCAGCAGCTCCAATACCTCAGCTGTTAGGCCCTGTGCGCTCCTACCCTATGGACACAGCCCATGGTTAGACTGAGCCTGCTCACTCCCCCTCTAGAGCCACAGCGCCACTTGCTTTTTTTTTTTCTTTTCTTTTTTTTTTTTTTAAGATAAATGAAGACAGTCTAGGTTAGTGGTCGGCAAACTGAGGCTCACGAGCCACATGAGGCTCTTTGGCCCCTTGAGTGTGGCTCTTCCACAAAATACCACGGCCTGGGCGAGTCTATTTTAAAGAAGCGGCGTTAGAAGAAGTTGAAGTTTAAAAAATGTGGCTCTCCAAAGAAAGTTCAATCGTTGTCCTGTTGATATTTGGCTCTGTGGACTAATGAGTTTGTCAGTCACTGGTCTAGGCTTTACAGCAACATACATGTGCTGAATATAGAATCTTTTACGGCATCATTTTCCGTACAGACAGACCTCTCAACATAGCCCTTGTGGAGAGCGGCTACAGTGTTTGGACGGGTTATCCGGGGTGGCCGAGTGATAGAGGCTGCGGGAGGTGCAGCCAGTAAACAAAGCTTGACCAGGTGCACGTAACTGAGTAGATTCGAAACCCATGAGAATACTGTAAACATCTTGGCCACGCCCTTCCTTTGCCTTGCGGAATCTGCTGTAAAATAAAGACACGGCTCGCAGGCCGTGGCGCTGTCTCACCATCAGAGAGGGCAGCGTCCCACCCAGACCCAGCTTTATTCTCTTGTCTGTCTTTTCTCAATCCTTCACCGTCCCCTCTCAGGCTCACCGAACCTGGCTGTGCAGGCTTGGCAGGACTGTTTTCCCAAAAGAAAGAGGGGAGTAACCTGGGGAAAGCCTTCCAGGTCATCGACTCATACCGAGAGGCCATGCACACCACACGTCAAACAAGGCTCAGCAGCCAGCAAAGACAACTTGAGCTGCTCTGAAAGGGACCCTCACTCGTTCGCTGTTCCCAAACCGCAGTCACCGGACTTCTCTCCATAGCCTTGCCATGTCCACACACTACTCTTACTCAGCATTTTACTCCGTGTCAGTTATATCAACATGCTTAAAAGTTAGAACCATTCTCTGTAACAACGCACCCGGATTCATGGGCCGGTTGTGCTGTTCTTCTCCATTGTGTAAAACTATCTAAACACACAGTTGTTAAACCTGAAACATGTTTTCTAAAGATCACTGGCAGGGATTTGTACCATGGTTTGGGAACACACGGATCTGGTCCAATTTCCTGCCACGGATGGGGACATTGAGTCCAAGAGAGGGGGGGAAGGAAGGGTCCTAGGAAGGTCACACACAGATATTTGAGACCTCCTGATTCCCAGAGTCCCTTCCCCCCGAGGTCAGACGGGCCCATTACTGCCATCCTGGTAAACAGGAAACCAGGCACCGGGAGCACAGCAAAGGTGACCTCTGTCACCCTCTTGCCAGTCATAATGAACAACATTCACCTAAGGAGGGACCCCTGCCTGTGTCCCCGTGGGTGCTGCAGGGTTTCTCTGGAGGAGGAATGAGTTGGTCCGTGTCTTTTTTTTTTTTTTAATATATTTTATTGATTTTGTACAGAGAGGAAGGGAGAGAGACAGAGAGTTAGAAACATCGATGAGAGAGAATCATCCATCAGCTGCTTCCTGCACACCCCCAACTGGGGATGTGCCCGCAACCAAGGCACATGCCCCTGACCGGAATCGAACCCGGGACCCTTCAGTCCCCAAGCCGACGCTCTATCCATTGAGCCAAACTGATTTCAGCTGGTCCGTGTCTTTTACAGAAGCTGAAGTGGGAACTATTTTTTCTTATGATGTATTTCCCTGTACTAGGCAAGGGTCATTTCCCAAACCAGTGGGGACCAGCGGAGGCCAGCTGGGGATGCGGGGAGGAGGAGACAGAAGGCAAGGGACAGAGTGGGCCGACGACCCTTGCAGGCTGCAGGGTGGCGGTCTCTCTCTCACACGGCACCGCAGCCGTGAGGAGGCCTTGTGCAGCTGGTCCTCCCATCCGCTCCCGTTGCCAAGGAGGACGCAGCGAGCACCGTGGCCGAGAAGAGCACCCTTTAGAAGGGCTGCCTCTTTAGCTCCAGGACTCGGGGGACCAGACAGGAGAGGAGGGGCATTTACAGAGCTACCGTAAGGACATTAAAAGAGCTGTAGGGCATTTTTTAAAACACCTCTTTGCTCCCTTCTGTCCCCTCCCGGAGTCTGGAATCAAAGTGGCTGATGGGAAAGGACCGGATCTAAAGGAGAGGTAGGTGCCCAGGGAGCCCTGCGCTGGAAGCTAAGCTGCTTGTTGTCCTGGGTCCCCAGAGCAAAACGGCTGCTTGTGCCCTAAACGCATACAGTTTTGGGGGGCCCTTCAGACCGGAGCGGGCGTGGCTCAAATAAATCACACAGTACAGGCCTGGGGAAGAATAAGTCATTTTCTGAACCTCTCTCCACGGATGCACATCCCGCCCCCCCGCGCCCCCCCCATCCCCCATGAGATCCCCGCAGGCTGGTGGCTTCCACCCGACCTGGCTCCCGCTGGCCACAGCTAGGCCCTCAGGCAGCCCTGGGCCTTCACCAAGATGTCTTCTCTGATTTTGGGGTAGTTGGGGTACTTCCCGAGGACCTTGAACAGAGAGAGAAAGGGGGTCAAAACATCAGAGGGGCTCCCTGCTGCTACACCAGGCTGCTGCCCGCCCCAACCGCCCCCCATTCCCCCCCCCCCCTCCGCTTCCGCCAGCGCTGGTGGCTTACGTTGTGGCAGACTTCGATGGCCTCCACGAATTTCTTGCCCTTCAGGTAGTTGAAAGCTAACTTGAACCCTGTTGTCCGAGGGCAGGGAGAAGACAGACGGAGGAGGCACTCCGATGACCTGAGTTAACCCCCCGGCTTCCACCGCGGGCTGAGCACAGGCCTCGAGACCTGCGGTGAGGTCGGGGCGGGGGGGGGGGGGGGGGGTGTCCTGCCACCGGCCCCCTTCCGCGCCCCCAGGAACCTTGCCGGTGGCCTTACCGATGGCGGGGTTGGCATAATGGCTGTACTTCCAGGCCAGCTCGTAGTTGGCGGCGGCGTCCGTGTAGGACTGCTCCTTCTCCATGATGAAGCCCAGGTACTCGTAGGCCTTGTAGCAGGACTGCGGAGAGAGCGGCTCAGAGCCCCTGCCCCGGGCAGGCCCCAGCCGGCCCCAGCGCCGGGCACCCGCAGCCCCTCCTCGCCTGAGCCACCCCTGGGCCCAGTTCTCTTCCCCATCCCACATTCCTCTTGGCTGCCCGACTTTGTCCACCTCTTTTTTTCCCCTTTTTACGTATATTTTTACTGATTTCAGAGAGAAAGGGAGAGATAGAAACATCAATGATGAGGGAGAATCATTGACCGGCTGCCTCCTGCATGCCCTCCGCTGGGGATCGAGCCCACAACCTGGGCATGCGCCCTGATGGGGAAATCAAACTGTGACATCCTGGTTCACAGGTCAATGCTCAACCACTGAGCCACACCGGCAGGGCCTGTAAGCCTCTCCTTGCCTTGCCCTGTGCTGTGCTCCCTGTTCCCATCTTGCTCTTTCCTGGTCTCTCCTCATCCCACATCTGCTCTACCTTGGACACCTGCCACCCCGGTGTCCAGTCCGCGCCCCCAGGGCCTTGGCCCCTTGCCTTGTTGTGCTGCACGCAGCGCCTCAGCAGCTCCGAGGCCAGGTCGAACTTGCCGCCCTGGCAGTAGATGTCGGCCAGCAGCAGCCAGCTCTTCTCCAGCTCCTCGGCCTCCGCCA